CCTTGGTGAGTTACTGCAGTGCATTCTGTAGATGTCCTACACACTGCTACTGTGCATTTGTGGTGAAGGTGGTCAATGGATGCCCGTCAAGCAGTCTCCCTCCACCTTGACGCTGTTGAGCTTCTTGATATTCAGGCAGGTGGAGTATACCATCACACTTTTGGCTTGTGCCTTGAAAAGCTTGCCACAGAATTCCTTCTGGCCTGCTCTTGTAGCCACAGTGTTTAATATGGCTGTCTCACTCAGTTTCTGGTCAGTGTTGGCCCCCAGAATTTTGTTAGTGGGCTGTTTGGTGATGGTAATACTATTTGAATGTCAAGGAACAATGGCTAGATTCTATCTTGATTGATATGTTCATTGCCTGGCAGTGATGTGATGCAAGTGTTGTTTGCTATCTGTCAGTGCAAACCTGGACATTATCTAGGTCTTGGATATAACTGCTTCAGTATCTGAGGAGTTGTAAATGATACTGAACATTATGCAATCCTCAGCAAACACCCCTACTTCTGACCTTTATGATGGAGGGATGGTAAATGATGAAGCAGCTGAAGATGGTTGGGCTGAAGACACTACCCTGAGGAACTCCTGCAGAGAGATACTGGATCTGAGATGACCACAACAATCTTCCTCCTTGTGCTAGATATGACTGCAGCCAGTGTAAAGTTTCCCTCTATTCCCATTGCCTTCAGTTTTGCTAGGGCTTCTTGATACAACATTGAGTGTTACCTTGATGTAAGGACAGTCAGTCTCCTCTCATCTCAGGACTTTGCCTCTGTTGTCCATGTTTAGATCAAGCCTGTAATGAGAGCTGAGTGGCTCTGGCAGAACAAACTGAGTTTTTGAGTGAGCAAGTGCGGCTTGATCACATTATCAAAGGCTTTGTTTTGGCAACTCCATTCTGACAGGTGAATATCTAATAGTACAACCTCTGTCAATGTAGAAGTTCTTTAAGTGGCAGATTCCTGGAAGCAGGCTGCATACTCCGCTTCTTGGCTGATGAATAGAATAAAAGGAACCAAAGTCAAGAATAGTACCTATTTGCTTCACTGTTTAGCTAATAAAAATGTAGGTCTATCGTTACCCAGGGAGGCTGAAAAGATAATTACCAAGGCAATACAGACCAGAGATTAAGGGTATATTGACTCCCATGCCCTGTAAATCTTAAATGGTATATTTCAGGCTGAGATTAATCCCCTAAACTTGCTGAAGCTGAGAGACATTTTCACATCTGGGCCTGTGTTCTAGGTAATTCTGTTCACTTCCAGTGAAGCCTTATATGGTGTTAGCTTTTCTCTTTTTTTTCTTTTTTGGCATTTAAATGTGATGTTTGAATTTGTTTTTAACAGCTACAATAGGCATAAACTAAAATCATTCCTTCTTTTCCCAGCAAAATATTAAGAACTTCATTCCACCTTTGAGTAAACTTTCTGCCAAATTTTTCATACACTTCTGTATTTCCTAATGGGCCCTTGTACCTAGCAGTAATTGCTGAGGGCTGTTGAGGGTATCCAATTTCACTATTGTTCACTCACTGATCTAACTTCCTCACGTTAAATTGTGTTTTAAAATGGCGCTGTTTTCTTTTGTTCTCCTTGAATGAAGAGATAGCAGGGGACCCCTGGAAAATATTGGTATTTGTTCAGAGTGTATATTAGTATTTCCCACACTACCTCCCACACAGGTACTTGGAAATAAGGCAAATGTTTTGTTTTAATTTCTTACAAATTGGGACAATTATCTCTAAATGCACACTATATATTTATACTTCAGTGGCCTTCAAAAATAGGTAGGTGCAGACTTCATAATTCTCTATTGTTTTTGGCATCTCTGTATTTTAATGAACTGTTTGATTCAAACCAAATATATGCTCCAAAAAATATAAATTGTTACCCTTCTCCTGACCGGCGATGTTAAGGGGAGAGCATTATTTTTCTTCTATGCTGGCCACAACACTATTTATTTGAAGAACAAAACTGTGAGGTTTAAGAATGAAAGAAACAGGGAGCATTGTCTCTGTTGCAGTGCAGCTTGGTGTGTTTGTTAATGTAGTCTGGAGCAAGATTGTCCGTTCTGTCACATCCTATCTACTGCTTTGAAGTAAATCTATTATATTCTGTCTCTTGCTCATTGGGCAGAAACTCCAAAAGAGGTCAACTGTGCACTAATCATTCTATCTTGTAAAGCTGACAAATTGTATTTAATCTTCTGATATGAGTTATACAGAATCATATGCCATGACTGGTCTTTATTTTTATGTGGGTATTCCCCACTGTCCCTCTCCTAGATGCAGTGACCTGTACATCAGTTGAAATGCTTACACTGCTAAATTACCTTTTTTACTTTGTTTCATTTGTACTGTTTCATTTACTGGACGGTGTAACAAGTTTTTGTTATAATCGCATCTTTACAATTGCATTATCCTTGATGCTTGACTTTATTGTTTCCCAATAAATTTTCAGCACTGGTTTCATGGAATAATGATATCAAGACTTAGAATTAAGGAAATGGCAGCAGGAATATTCCAATCCATCCTCCTGTTCCTCTCTCTAAATTTATGTATTGATAAAGTATTACTTTGCTGACCACTGAACTGTCGTCTTGGTGAGTAAAGTATCAGATGCCCCCAATCATCTTTGGAGGCAGGTTTCAAAGTTCTGTACTGATAACAAAAATGAGCATTTGTGTTCTTAGTGGCACTTCAGTTGGATAACGTATCTTTGCAGGTTGGAGCAGACTGATGTCTTCATTAAGAAAGCTCTTATAGGCTGGATCTATCATGACATGGGGGAATGTCTGGATAAGTTATTGATGATTTTCTTGAGTTCAGAGTAACTGAAACGTTTCCATAATGTAGTTGTGCTGCTAATCTGCTTTAGTGGATATAAAAGGAAGATTCCATATAAAATAGTGATGTTATTTGAAGGGAGTAGTTTGTAGACTGGCTATATGACACAGCCAGCCTTAGTCTTCCAGAGAATCTGAATATGTACTGAACTTGACAACGTCTCCACTCTATTTAATGCTGTCATTTGTAATGTGGAGCTGATCTTTATTGTAGAAATACTCCTTAAACAACTGTTTTCCAATTTATCTCTCTAACCTTGTATTGAAAATGCCCTGGAGGAGTTTGTAAAGTGAAGATCGTTTTCTCCTCTGCCTCTTCCATATTACCTTGTCTAACTTTTACTAATGAGTACACTTGATCCTCTTTATCTAAAAAGATTTTGCTTATTTAAAGTTTTTATATCTCTTACCCTCCGGTGTAACAACATGCTACTTTCTTTAATAATCATTGTTAATTTTTTTGAAAAAAATTAACAATCATTACTTGTAAATCTCATGTTAGACCATGTCTGGAGGATGTTAGTATACAGTTCAGGTTTTCACTGTTATTTTACTCTAGCATAACAGCCCAAGACCTTGTCTGAGATCCTGAAGCGACTTTATATCCCAGATTAGAACACTCGAACCACAATTTAAGATTTCAACTCTATCTCTGAAAATCGCGGTATTAAGACTCTCAAGTGGAGTTCAAGTTGGAATTTCACTCAAAATTAGCTTTGAAGCATCTGCAAATCTGCCATTCTTATAAATAGTTCTCATTTGACATCATTCAACCTCAAGTGCTATTGCAGCAAGGCTTTAAAACGTTTCATAAAATGATAGAGGCGTTTGGGGTAGGAATTGAAAAGTTGTGGAAATGGAATATAAGGGAGTGTGACATTGGTGCTGCCTTAACTGGAATAGAAGTACATATTCTATTGTTTCTGTTTTTATCACAGCCAGGACGGACATAGCAGCAAACTACATGTCCAACTGAATCCCAGCATTGTTAATGATATGTTTGAATCATAACTTTTCTCTCGTTGAATGAAACATTTCAATTAATCAAAGTGAAAAATTGTCTCTCTTTTTTTAAAATAAATTTTGCCTCATCTCACAAAGAATTTAGATTGTTTGATATTTTTTGACACTTTGGTTCCAAGCCTGTTGATGTTCTTGGAACAGAAAAAAACATAGTCAGGAAACTATTACGGTTGGAATAACACACTACTGAATCAATCACTTAACAGCACAAGTGACATGCTGTGACTAAATGAGAGCCAGTGAACTACAATGATTGGTGGTCCCAAAACAGTAGTTCATTTTATTACTTAAATCGAGCTGTTAAGACATGTGTCTCTTCATATGTTCTAAATTTCACACAGCTATTGTGAAATGTGTCATCATTGTCACCAGAAGAGAATTTATGCAAAAATATTGATTTTTGGCACAAAGTGTAAACCTTGAGTTTTGTTGAAGCACACCTAATGTATGGGTTTGAATGCTCCCAAAACATGGGGAAGCTAATCCTACAGCACTCTGGTGAAGAGGTTAAGCAAAGAAGTATGTTCACAGGGTTTTTTGACCTGGAATGCACTGTGTAAAAGCCACCTGTTCCTTGGCCTTCACAACTGGTTACAGAAAATATTGACAAAGGGGTGGGTGAAAGCAAATGCTTATCTTAACCCTGCAGTTTACCTGGACACATCATATCTTCCTCATTTGAGATATCTTTGACTCCTCACTGTCTTTTATTTTTGCTTTTTTTTAACCTAAACTATTTTAGCTGAAATAGTGACTGCATTTACCTTCTGATTTAAAATAAATTGGCCTTTGCCAGCTTTATTTTTATTTTCAGGTTTTATCTTAGTGACTCTTTTTGCTTCAACTAAATCATGACACTGGTCAAAATTGAGCAATTAAGGTGGTTCTTTCAGCTATGGGATAGAATGACCAGGGACACTTCTTTTTTTTTTTATTTGTAAAATAATTATTTCAGATAAGTTGCATCCACATTGGATAAAAAGCTTAATTCACCACTGTTTAGACTTTTAAGATCCCAAATGTGGCTCTCATGCTTTTAAAAAACAAACTTATCAGTTGTAACTACTATACTTCTGAATATGCTTGGTTATAGTGTTTTCTACATGTTTTGGATTTTCTTCCTCTTTTCCTAGGTTCTGAGACTTTCTTGAGAATGCCAGCACTACCAAAACTTCAAGAGCCCTGTGGTGAATGTAAAGCAGCACATCGTGTTCCATAATTGGTGACACTTGAGATTCAATCTTGTAAGTAAATTAAATGCAAGGTGCAATTCTTCGTTTAAAGAAGAAATTTCAAAATTCTGTCTAGGGCTTAGGGTGTTTCAAGTTGTGAACTTGAGGTTTGCACAGCTCAGCATTTGTAATTATTACTGTATTTAGAATCTTAAAAGAATTAATGGTCTATTCAGCCTGCCATGCCTATGTAAAAACCAAAAGTACTGTCGATGCTGTATATCAGGAGCAAAAACAGAATCTGCTGGAAAAGCCCAGCAGGTCTGGCAGCATCTCTGAAGAAAAATCAGAGTTAACATTTCGGATCCGGTGACCTTCCCCAGAACTGGACCCGAAATGTTAACCCTGATTTTTCTTCACAGATGCTGCCAGATCTGATGAGCTTTTCCAGCTGCTTCGGTTTCAGGCCTATGTGTCTGCTGCTGCTCTTTATTGTAAATATCAGGATTTGGCTACATTTTTAAAAATCCTGAACTGGTTCAGTATTAATTGGCATTAATCTAAAAATACAGTAGTGCTTTAAATGTGTTTTTATAATCTTGGATTTGTGTCTGGTTGTGTTGAAGTCTCTTAGTGCTTTAATTTGACACTACATATGACACATCCTCAGTTGATGTCTCTCAATGTTTAATGTGCTAAGCTATTCTGTTAACCTCATTTATAGACTGGAGTAGTGCTTAATTAAATATTTTGTGAAAATTGAGATTGGAGAGAGCGTCTGTGAATACATATATTGAGCTCTTGGTCACCATATATGCTGCATTAGAATTTATTATAGTTGGTGATTTTGAGAAGTTTCAAGGTAACTGGTACTCTGGGTGAGCAGTGGAAAAGGAAACTCTATTAATTCAGTAGTGGATGCCATAATGAAGATGAAACTAAGGAAAGGTGGTTGGCCTAGAATACTGGGAGCTTTACATTCAACTACGATAAACCTAATCTTGGAGAATTTGACACTGTCATCCAGTGTGAACATTGCTTAAAAAGGTAATATTCTTTTTGGTGGTTAACACATTGATCAATACTTTTTTTCTCAGCTTCAGCCTTGTACTTAAATAATGTTTTCAGCTGCAAAGCTTAGATACAACCATGAATGTGTTTTACCCATAAGTCAAGCACCATTCACAAAGTGATAAAATAAACACTGTAGTGTCAAAATAGACGACAAAAATTGGCTTCACTGTAACTCCAAAATGCTCAACACAATAATAGATATATTAACTGCTACAAATTAACTGTTCCAATATAGTAACATCCCATAAACACAGCCTTTGTAAAGGCAAATTCAGTAAAATAGATTGTCTTGCATGCAAATCTGGCAGCAGGAAGAGAACCCCAGCTTTTAGCTGTAACAGAGCAAGGAATAACAGCTTCCAAATCCAACTTCAAGACCCCAACAACTGCAGAAAGCTAAAAAAACTAGAAATCCTGGTTCTGTGGGAGCTTGACCACACCCATTCAGGCTGCTTTTATTTTTAACTTTTTCTCTGAAAAAAGCTGCAAGGCCTCAAACTGTTTACTCTATTAGCTTTGAGCAGACTGCTTATCACAAAAAAAGGACAAAATACAGTAAAGTCATAATATCATTACAGGAATGACTTCTATGGGGTAGTGGCAGAGATTGAGTTGGAGCAGGGGAATGCAAGCGTAAGGTAAGTGTTGAGGATGGGTGGCTGGATAGGTGTTCACAGTGCATCATGATACTACAGAAAGAGAGGCTCGTGTCAGTGGCTGAGGAATTCCTTTTTGGGCACTGATGACCACTCGCAGCTGCTCTGCAAAGAAATCTTCGGAAACTCTTGTGGCTTTGGTGGGAGAGAGACAAAATTTTCAGCATCCTTTTAAGACTAGTTATCCACATTTTGCATTAAAAGTAAAATACTGTGAATGCTGGAAATCCTGAAATAAAAACACTCCTGCTGCAGAGTCATACTGAACATGAAACATTATCTCTTTTTCTGTCTCCAAAGATGCTGCCAGACCTGCTGAGTTACTCCAGCAAATTTTTTCTTGTCCACCTTATAGATGGCTTTGGTTTCACCCTTCTGACATTTTCTAGACTGAAATTGCATCAATGATATTGAGGGGCTGTAACTTTCATTTGTGAAGTAGGTCCTTGACTGCCTGGGGTGGGCACCCCTCGTGTGCCTAATTTGCTGCTTTGTAAAAGTAATAAGGAGATAGTAATGGGTGCAACTCCCACCCCAATCTCTGTCCCATTTGTGAGATGGATTGGGGGTTTAAAATTCTGATTTTGTTTCATCAGCTTTCCAAGAATGGAAAGGGCGGGCACCCTCTCTAAGATAGACGCTATTTATGTTTGGATAGGTTCACATTTTAAAATGTAGCTTCCAGACAGACGCTGGTAGTAGGCTGACCAACTTCTTGCAGGTGTTGAAAGTCTAATAATGCAGACACCCACTTAGTAATTGCAGAGACTATATTGTGTAAAGGTTGTGAATTTTTTGAGGGAAGAGAAATTTTTAGTAATTTTGATAATGTTCATTTGGTCTTTTTGTTGGCAAATGCTGTAAGTCAGGTCATGTACAACAGGTAAAGCTACTTGGTGGCAGTGTGACTAATGCTTGTTTTAGCAGCCTCACTTTTTAATGCTAATGATTCTGCTTCTGTTTGTGCACACCATGTTTTTTAGGATATACATGTGTGCATACACTTCCTTCCTGATTTATGACACCAGTCAATTTGTTTAACTGCATCAATTCTCCCATTTTAAAATATTTTAACTTTACCCGAAACACTACCTAGGTAGTGTCTCCCACCCATCCTCCTCCTCTAACCAAAAAAAAAGGTTCTGAGCGCTGATTTAAAAAGGCGACTAGTTTTTTTTATTTGTCTGTTTGGGAATTCAGAACAGTGGGAATGGATGTTAGGGCAGTTGTATGCTCCTCCTGTAGAATATGGGAGGTAAGGGTCACCACTAGTGTCCCCACTGACTTGATCTGCGGGAAGTGCACCCAACTCCAGCTCCTCAAACAGTGTTGGGGAACTGGAGCTGGAGCTGGATGAACTTCGGATCATTCGGGAGGCTGAGGGGGTAATTGAGAGGAGTTACAGGCAGGTAGTCACACCTCAGGTACAGGAAAAAAGTAGATGGGTTACAGTCAGGGGACGGAAAGGGAACAGGCAGACAGTGCAGGGATCCCCTGTGGCCGTTCCCCTCAAACAAGTATACCGTTTTGGATACTGTTGGGGGGGGGGACTTACCAGGGGTAAGCCATGGGGTACAGGTCTCTGGCACAGAGTCTGTCCCTGTTGCTCAGAAGGGAAGGGTGGAGAGGAGGAGAGCATTAGTCATTGGGGACTCCATAGTTAGGGGGACAGATAGGAGATTTTGTGGGAACGAGAGAGACTCGTGGTTGGTGTGTTGCCTCCCAGGTGCCAGGGTCCGTGATGTCTCGGATCCTTAAGGGGGAGGGGGAGCAGCCCCAAGTCGTGGTCCACAAAGGCACCAACGACATAGGTAGGAAAAGGGATGGGGACGTAAGGCAGAATTTCAAGGAGCTAGGGTGGAAGCTTAGAGCTAGAACAAACAGAGTTGTTATCTCTGGTTTATTACCCGTGCCACGTGCTAGCGAGGCGAGGAATAGGGAGAGAGAGCAGTTGAACACGTGGCTACAGGGATGGTGCAGGAGGGAGGGATTCAGATACCTGGATAATTGGGGCTCATTCTGGGGTAGGTGGGACCTCTACAAATGGGATGGTCTACACCTGAACCAGAGGGGTACCAATATCCTGGGGGGGAAATTTGCTAATGCTCTACGGGAGGGTTTAAACTAATTCAGCAGGGGGATGGGAACCTGAATTGTAGCTCCAGTGTACAGGAGGTTGAGAGTAGTGAGGTCATAAATAAGGTTTCAAGGTCGCAGGAGTGTACCGGCAGGCAAGAAGGTGGTTTGAAGTGTGTCTACTTCAATGCCAGGAGCATCCGGAATAAGGTGGGTGAACTTGCAGCATGGGTTGGTACCTGGGACTTCGATGTTGTGGCCATTTCGGAGACATGGATAGAGCAGGGACAGGAATGGTTGTTGCAGGTTCCGGGGTTTAGATGTTTCAGTAAGATCAGGGAAGGTGGTAAAAGAGGGGGAGGTGTGGCATTGTTAGTCAAGGACAGTATTACGGTGGCAGAAAGGACGTTTGATGACAACTCGTCCACTGAGGTAGTATGGGCTGAGGTTAGAACCAGGAAAGGAGAGGTCACCCTGTTGGGAGTTTTCTATAGGCCTCCGAAAAGTTCCAGGGATGTAGAGGAAAAGATTGCAAAGATGATTCTGGATAGGAGCGAAAGTAACAGGGTAGTTGTTATGGGGGACTTTAACTTTCCAAATATTGACTGGAAACGCTATAGATCGAGTACTTTAGATGGGTCAGTTTTTGTCCAATGTGTGCAGGAGGGTTTCCTGACACAGTATGTAGATAGGCCAACAAGAGGCGAGGCCACATTGGATTTGGTACTGGGTAATGAACCAGGCCAGGTGTTAGATTTGGAGGTAGGTGAGCCGTTTGGTGATAGTGACCACAATTCGGTTACGTTTACTTTAGCGATGGAAAGGGATAGGTATATACCGCAGGGCAAGAGTTATAGCTGGGGGAAAGGCAATTATGAGGCAAGATTTAGGATGCATAGGATGGAGAAGGAAACTGCAGGGGCTGGGCACAATTGAAATGTGGAGCTTGTTCAAGGAACAGCTACTGCGTGTCCTTGAGAAGTATGTACCTGTCAGGCAGGGAGGAAGTGGTCGAGCGAGGGAACCGTGGTTTACTAGAGAAGTTGAATCTCTTGTCAAGAGGAAGAAGGAGGCTTCTGTAGAGATGAGGCGTGAAGGCTCAGTTAGGGCGCTTGAGAGTTACAAGTTAGCCAGGAAGGACCTAAAGAGAGAGCTAAGAAGAGCCAGGAGGGGACATGAGAAGTCTTTAGCAGGTAGGATCAAGGAAAACCCTAAAGCTTTCTATAGGTATGTCAGGAATAAAAGAATGACTAGAGTAAGATTAGG